GATCGGTCGGTTGTAGTTGGATCGGTCGGTTGTAGTTGGATCGGTCGGTAGTAGTTGGATCGGTCGGTAGTAGTTGGATCGGTCGGTAGTTGTTGGTTGGTAGTTCAGTCTGTGGTTCAGCTTGTTTGTTGCTCAGACTGAAAACATTTCCTGTAGGTGTTTTGTTTTGGAAAACATCATGTTGTGTTTATTGCTGAGACTCTCTGGTCACATGCTGGCTGTTTGTCCCAGTCCGCCCCAACCTGTCCGTCTCCACGGCGACACATGGTGGGGGTGGGGGGTTCTGTGAAAATGTCCAGGCAGGAATGCGCTCTGCTGGATCGGGTGTCTGTCTGGAGGCTCATATAAAGGCCGGCCGGCCACCGGACCAGAATAGACCCGGAGTGCAGTAGCAGCAGAACAGCGTGTCGTCTCTCCCAGAACCAGAACCAAGGACATGGACCTCCAGAGGACGGGCTCGGTGGTGCGGCCGCCCAGCCCCATGGACAGCCTAGAGAAGCAGCTGAGCTGCCCCATCTGCCTGGACATGTTCACCAAGCCGGTGGTCATCCTGCCCTGCCAGCACAACCTGTGCCGCGGCTGCGCCAGCGACCTCTACGACTCCCGCAACCCCTATCGCTTCTCCGGCGGCGTCTTCCGCTGCCCCACCTGCCGCTTCGAGGTGGTGCTGGATCGCCACGGGGTGCACGGCCTACAGCGCAACCTGCTGGTGGAGAACATCATCGACATCTACAAGCAGCAGCAGGAGGGGAAGAGCGAGGGCGAGCCGCTGAAGGCGCAGGAGGCCAAGGAGCCGCTCTGCCCGGAGCACGAGGACGAGCGCATCAACATCTACTGCGTCAGCTGCCAGCGCCCCACCTGCTCCATGTGCAAGGTGTTCGGCCAGCACAAGGACTGCGAGGTGGCGCCGCTGGCCACCGTCTACCAGAGCCAGAAGGCTGAGCTCAGCAACGCCATCGATGCGCTGGTGGCCAGCAACGGCCGGCTGCAGGCGCTGCTGCACCAGATGGAGGACGCCGGGCGCGCCGTGCAGGAGAACGCGCAGCGCGCCAAGCAGGGCCTGGCGGAGCGCTTCGACCTGCTGTACGCCGTGCTGGAGGAGCGCAAGGCGGTGCTGCTGGAGCAGCTGGGCCGCGAGCAGGACGACAAGGTGGCGGCGCTACGGGCGCTGGCCCAGCGCTACGGCGAGCGGCTGCAGGCCAGCTCCGAGCTGACGGACACGGCGGTGCGCGCCCTGGAGCAGAGCGGCGCCGCCGAGTTCCTGCTGGCCTCCAAGGGCCTGATCGGCCAGACCCGGGACGCCGCCAAGGCTTCGCTGGGCGAAGAGCGGCCAGAACCCGGCTTTGAGAAGATGGACCACTTCACCCTCAACACGGAGCCGGTGGAGGCTGTGCTGGCCAAGATGGACTTTGGAACCGGGAATGATGAGGAGTACGAGGACGCAGAGGAGGAAGAGGAGGAAGAATAGGACAAGGGACGGAGGAGGACGGAGGAGGACGGAGGCGTCCATCGGGACTGAGACACAGACTCTGATTTCTTTACGTCTTTTTATACTTTTGTATTGAAGGTTAGAAATGTCTGTAGCTTCTGGTTGTTGATGCGCTGCTGGAATCCCAGTCAGTCTGTACTGGAAATAAAGCTGTGTGAAGTTGATCCATGGCCCGGTTCTGGTTCTGGTTCTGTTGGAACCCAAAACAGGTTATTAAAAGCCTGCAGCAGCGTTGCCTTTGCTGGAGAACAGTCGGAGCTATTTCAGGAAGAGTGAGTGTTTGTGATAGGTGTGTGTGTGTGTGTGTGTGTGTGTGTGTGTGTGTTTGTGATAGCGTCCAGGAATAGCCGGTCCGGTCCGGTTCCTCTCATGGAGTTCTTCTTGCTCAGCAGCTCTGACCCGACTGACTCTGAGCTAAAATTGTCGTCCAGCTGGTCGCTGAGCTCAGAGACAGGAAGTGACACGCAGAGTGACCTTCTGTTCTGAGCATGCTCAGTGCAGCTCCAGCCAGCTCTTATCGATCGTCCTGGTGGAAAACTTTCCGGTTGCCAGATCTCTGTTGGTACACAGGGAGCTGTTGCTAGGCAACAGAGCCTGAGAGGCCAGGTTCTGTTGACGCGGTGACAGCAGAACATGTCGGCGTGTCTGAGGAGCCTCACTGCTCACCTGATAAGGAGCCGAGGCTCCAGGTGACCCCGGTGACCCCGTTCCTGAGGTTCAGGTTCTGTTCCAATATCTGAAAAGTGCGTAATATGTTTATCCTTCTTTTCTCTGATAACCCTGAATAAAATCTACTGCTGCCTCCAGAGTCTCAACATGGGGGGCAGGGACCCTCTGGAGGGCTGCCAGACATCAACTGGGGGTCAAAAGATCATTTTCAGAATCATTATGATTTAGCCTCCAGGATTCATCTTTACCTGGAGTATAGAGACACTAAAGACCTATACTGAGAGAACAGAAGTAATGAAGCCAAAACTGAACAATAAATAACATCAGCATTCAAGATAAAAACATTCAGTTCATCAGGACTCCAGTTTTAACTCCAGCTGCTTCACATTCTGCAAATAATGTATAAAAATGACCTTAAATGAAGAGAATTGTCTTCCGGAGATTAAATAATGTGGTCTGGCCCTTTAACTCTAAAGTTTGGTTAAAAACACAAACCTGTTTAAAAGTGGGAGGAGCTTCTTGGATGCTAACATATTAGCCAAACCAAAAGAGTTCAGTTTAAACTTCTTGTTTTCTTCTGATTCACTTTTGCAACATTAGCGACAGGAAGTGGCCTGTCCGACAGGAAGTGGGCTGAATCTGTTTAAAGATGTGAAACGAGCCGTTGTCGGCTCCTGGCTGTGATCAGTGACGAGCTGCGGCTCATTTAGCAGACATGATGAAGATGATGGCTATCCTCCTCCTCCTCACCATGATGTTGTCCACAGAGAGCAGCAGGCAGCGGGCCTACAGCCTGGTGGCGCAGGCCTACACCTCCATCACAGCCGAAGACTTTGCTGCCTTCGTGGGCTACACGGTGGAGGAGGCGGTGAAAGGTGAGGCTACTTCCTGTAGCGTCTGTCGGGTTTTCATGGACTCATCCTGGCTTCCCTCGTCTCTCTCAGGTGTGGTGAGTCAAGGCTGGCAGGCCGACCCAGCAACCAGGATGGTAATGCCCAAGAAGCCAGGTAGGGGGTGCCGTTTCCCATTAAATCACACGCACTTCTCCTCTGGCTCCTTTTCACACATTTATATGTTTATTAGGATTCAGTGTCTAAAAGAGCCACTAGAGGGCGAACACATCGTGTTGGATTTATCACAACCCCCGCTGCTCTGAGCAGTAACAGGTGGGGGCGGGGCTGCAGAGCTCAGCTAGATAGTGGAAACCCCCCTGACTCACTCGCTCCTCTCTCTCTCCAGACCCGCCCCCAGTGTCTGTGGTTCCTAACGAGCAGCAGCTGGCCCGCCTCACCGACTACGTGGCGTTCCTGGAGAACTGAAGGCTCCCCAGGTTCCGCCGGAGGAGAGGCCGCCGCGCCTCCTGATGGACCGACACCCGGATTCATCCCATGACCCCGCCCCCGCTCAGACGACGATGACGATTGGCTGTTTGCAGCTGCCTGATTTGTAAATAGCTCTGCTGATTGTTGTTTCAGATAAACATGGAGAGAACCCAGTAGTTTCCATCCTACTTCCTGTTTCCACCCAACTTCCTGTTTTGGCTGCTGAATAAACGTGTTTCTGTTTCTACTGGTTGGCTGAGCTTCTGTTTCCATCAGATGAGGGTAATCAGGTTCTGCAGATTGGAGTCGGGTCTCCATTCACTCTGATCCACACAAGCTCATAAATTTACATTTATGA